TCTTTCCCTTCACTAATTTCAAGTTGTTCTGTCATAAAGACAATCCTGATCAAGTTTTAGGTACAACAATCTTCTTATACTACACAAAAGTAAACAACATGTTCAAGGATTTTATTGCTAACCTTTCAACACATGTTCATAAACCTGAGGCAACTGTCCAAGATACTTCATAACCAATGATAACACTGATCTAGAAGTATCGTGGCCAGCGAAAAGAAGAAGAAGTATATTATCAATAATTTCCATTTCTGTCATAAACCTTCCATTGGTGTCAGATGTAACAAGCATGTGTGATAGAAGGTCTTGAGTAGGTGATGCCCTCTTCTCCTCCAAATCCACTTTCCTTTTCTTTAGAATCATTTTAATTTCTTTTCTTATTGCATCTGCAGCTTTCATTGAACGATGAAACTTTGTTCCAGGAATGTTGAGGGGGAAGCCAATCATCCCTTTTAGAAATTCATCAAATTTTAATGAAAGCTTTGATAAGTGGTCAGAGTCTTCCATGCTTAAAAATAAGCAACAAGCCAATTCAAACGTGTATAGATTTACTATGCGATAGACAAACACCTGCTCCTTTCCTTCAAAATTGCAAAGTGACAAGTGTGTTAAACTACAACGAAAAAGGCTATACACAGATAATGTAAACTGTTATCTTAAAAATCATACTAACAAAAACTTCTTAATGATTAACAATGTAAAAGTTTTTACACAGATGACCCTTAAACTCTTAAACTATTGATCAAGATATTCTTTTCAGTCTTATTTATCAAAACAAAACAATATAGTCAATCAGCACTGTTTAATCATCAGAAAACTTGTAAAACAGGTGGCCCTCAAGGCTAGTTTTGATTCAAGAGAATATTAATCTAATAATTTTTTTTTATTTCAGGGTGAATGCTAAAAGCAAGAATTTCTATCTTGTATAAGAACCTCATGTACCTGTCTGCTAATGCTAAATCATTATGTACCTACCACTGATGCTTAATCATATATCCTAGTTTGCTATTATATTGATATATAAATGTAAGATTTGTTTAACTGACACAATATATGTGAGAGATTTGAGAGATATGTAAAAGGCATGATAAATATTTGAAAGATACGAGAGATTTGAAAAACGTGTCCTATTAGAGATTTGTTTAATAGGAAATTAGTAAAGTTCCGTTAGGATTATTGTGTAAGGGTCATGTGAATGCAAATAAGCATGTGGGGGAGAGAGATTGCATCGTAATGAATTCCGCAGACAAAATTTGTTTTGATAATAAATTTGACTTTTCTCATCTATGTAAATAGGCAAGTTGGGCTGAACCACTATAAATTGTTTATGATTTGTTTGTGATGCTTTTACCCAGTCACCAGTAGTTATGTAAGCATGTGAAAAGAGAATATGATATTTCCCAATACGATTGAAGGGGGTGTGGTATTCCCCAACAGCAATCTTTTGCTTTATCATTGATCCATAAATCTAATCAACAAGGTATTATTATGTAACTACCATTTTGCATTGATCTAATCGTAAAACTTTGTTAGCCAAATCCTCATATGAGTAAATGATCAACCCAACACAATTGAGCTGTTATGTTACATTTCATACCTTTCCAATATGTGTCTATATGGCGCTGAGCAATGGTATCCATTTTTGGCAAGTAATTTCTGAGTGTTTCTGCATTAAGAAAGCTCATGAGCAACTTTCTGACCACCTTAGCCTCGTCACCAACCTTGTTAACAAGGGACAACCTTAACAGCTTCTTTACAGAACTAGGCCACCACACTTGGACATTCTTGTTCTCATTGCTGAATAGGAACTTGTTCCCTGCTGGCCCGCAAAACACAGCCATAGGATTTCCAAACAACAAAGTCTTGAACACCCTTGAGTCATATTTCTCCATTCTCTCTTGTATGAACCTTGAACTGTTTCCTTCAAGACATGAACGCATAAACTCAAAGGTTTCTCCAACAATAGGCCACCCAAATCTTCCAGGAGGAAGATGCGGGTTTGGATGCTTTCTGAGTCTAATTTTATTGATGAAATGTAGGCAAAGGAGACAGAATGCCAAAACTGCTGGCAAGACAACAAGGTTGGTCACCTCCATAAGCTATAATTGATGTCCTCAAGACTTTGACTGTTGATGAAGTGCACAAGTCAAGAGAAAGTATGAAGATGGTTCGAGGAACAAGGAAATGTGAGATAATAGGCAAATGAAAGATAGAGAGAATGATCTTTGGAATAGGACTGAACCAGAGAAGCTATATAAATAGACCATTGTTAATTAATCAGAAATCATTTTAGTTACGACGTTAAAGTAGTGATTATATATAAAAGTCAAAAACACTTACCACACATGCGACCAATAATTGGATATCAGTGTATTATAATTAAATCCATAAATAAGTCATCAAGGAAGACTTAGAAAGCACTTGAACTGTGAACTACAATTTTCAGTTTATGTTCATCCTGATTTTTTTTAAAAGAAAAATACTTGGTCCTCGAATTATAAATACATGAAAGTGACACTTCAACATTATTATCATAAAAATATTCCTTGATGACGTTACCATAACGACAATTGAGGCCTATAAATAAATAAGTAAATAAATAAATATATGTGATGAGCATATATCTAATGCACTAAAATAAATATTCCTTTAAGATTGTGTTCATTTCGATAGTTATCTTACAATATTTTTTTGGAAGTATACGGTGAAAAATATGTGATAGAGATTCAACCCATCAATAGAAAATTCTAGAGATCTTATGACAAGGTCTAAGTTTAAGATGATAAAAACAAGTTTCACACATATCAATGGAAAATTAGACTAAAATGAAACAAGCTCTACACTAAAATGGATTACTTTTCTACATTGACAAAGACTTATCTCAACTTAAATACAACATGATAAACTAAAATTTATATCGTCATGAAGAAATATTAATGAGCTTGAATTTAATTGGTTTTTGGACTAAATACTTACTTAAATTTACTTTTTTAATTTTAATGTAATTTTTGTATTTCATTTTAACTAAAAAAGTTTAAATGTCTTTTTATATTGTCCAGATAATTTTTTGTACAATCAGATTTCTAAAATTATTTCTAGTGAAAAATAAATACAGGTGAAAATTCAATTCCTAATGAAAAATTTCTAATTGTAAATGAAAGATATTTTAGCATATAAAAAAGAAGCCACATACTGTTATCAATGGTACAAAAGAAAGAAAAAAATTTAGATTATGTTATGGTATTTGTATTTTTGAGGAATATATTTATCAAGAAGAGAATTAAATTTTATTATTTATTGGAAATATTTTACACTCATAATTTCATAATATTCAGTATAGTCGCCATTTAACAGCAATAAGGTTTGTTATGGAGTTATGGTTGTTGGGAATAAGATGTATGTCCAAGATTCAATCTATCTTATATGCATTAATAAAATTGTACTTTATTATCATATTTATTGATTATGAGAAATAATTAATATGATAAAGTTCTTGATTAAAATTAAAGACTTCTTTTTTTATAATAGAGATTATAATAATGAGAAAAACAAGTCTTTTTTAATTTTAATCTAAATTATTCTTGATCGTAGGATTATTGAGGATAGGATATCATTAATCCACATAGATCAATATATGTGTAATAGTCTTTATTGGATAGAGATTAATAGATCTCATTTATTAAATTACTCATATAAATAGTGCATATAGGGATATGACTATTGAACAGACTCTATAAAGGAGAATTTCTAATGGTTATGTATTACCTTAAAATTTTGTCAATAGGAAATTCTTAAAAAAATATATATAATTTCCTTAGACTTGAGATTATCATAATAATTAACAAGATATTTATTATACTTTGATTTCGGACACCTAATACCTAAAGGTGTTAGTTGAATGATTATTGGGCGTAATTAAATTCTTGTAGAATTAAATGATTAATCAAGAAGGGATCTATCGACTCTTGGTAATGAGTTTGAGCTTTATAATGAAAATAAGGACCTTGGCCAAGGCAATTGAAATAATAAAGAAAAAGGGGTTTTTCTTGTATTTTTCATTATATGTTAACTGATTAGAATTTGACAATTAAACCATATTCTAAAGTTAATTTAGAGATGTAAAATGATGGAAGGAAATTTTATGTTAATCTTCTAAAGGTTCTTCAAAATATTATTTCATACTATCCGGCATTAAGGAGTGTTGCTAGACGCCAACCTTATTAGTAAATTAATGTAGTTAATTTACTACCGGTTTAGTTTTGAAAGGTCACACACTAACGAGTGTTCTAATCTTTGCTCAAGAAAATTTATTATTTGATAATTAAATTAAAGAATTTGATTTTATCAAATAATTATTTTTCTTACAAATAAAATATTATTTATTTATTTTTTTGACTAACATCAAAATATAAATAGTATTTGTTTTTATTAAGATAGAAAAGTACGTCAGTTTTTCAATTTCAAATTGAAAGACTCAATTTGAATTTTGACCTAGTCAAAAGTAGTTTTGATAAGAAAAGATAAAAACTATTTTCTTTTAGATATTTGATAATTCCTATTTTTTAGAAGATAGGAGATGGAAGTTGTTGCTAAGTGAATAAATATGTTTACATATTTATAAATATACAGCTCCACTGTGGAGAAATATACACAGAAACCATAAGAAAATTAGTTCTTTTTTCTCTTATATCTTGTGCTGAAAAAATTGCTCAGTCAAGAGGTTGACAAACAAATATTAGTCTCGGTGTAGATACACGTGAGACTTTCATAGTTTTAAAGGAAAATTTTTAAATTTTAGACTTCAACCGGGTAAACTTTATTTACTTTCATAAATATCCTATTAATTATTATGTATGATTTTAACATAAAATATATCTTTTTATTTTTGCTACATGTTTAGAACATGATTGAACTTTCAATGGTGCCGTGTAGCTTTCATCTGACAATTGCCGCAGGTGACAAATTTTATGCTACATCCATTGCTAAACATCGTCCCAACAAAGAGATGAGTATCTTTGACAATGACATGCTCTATCTCTTGTAACCCACTAAGCCTTTGTCACTGTTCTATCCCCAATTCTCTTTAGTGCTTCCATTTGTCTTTCACCACTTGTATCCATACATACAATTTAGGCAATACAATGTTTACTTTCTTCTAGATTGGTTTTCACAGCAACATCAGGATAATATATATTAAGCTTAAGTTTAGTAGAGAGAAAAAAAAAATGAAGAAAAATAGTGAGTGAAAATAATACATGATTGAAAAGAAATAAATGAGAAATAATATATATATATAAGCAAGAGAAGAGAGAAAAGAAAGTGAAACTCTTTTTCGATCTCTTTCTATTTTTCACTTATCTCAATCAAATGTTAGTGAATAATCAGAACGACCATGTACAGGGAAAAGGGAGACAATCCATTAATTACCCTTGAAATGAATATCCCTTACGTGTGACCAAGATGATGCCTTGCATGGAAGTGCATAAACACACCTTGCATAAATTGGGACCCATCATAATTCATAACTCCACGTGTCCAATTTATTAAAGAAAATGTATATCTTTTTCCAAACAGCCTATGGAAAACCCGGGTCAGATAAATTGATTGGTAAGCTGAAAGATACGTTGGTTAGATTGTGTTGCGTTGGCTCTATCCCATTTTGGGTACAATTAACTTTCAAATCATTCATGATGCCTTTTTAATTCCATAAATGAAGTGGAAGACAAATGCTTCGATCCAAAATTTATTTTGTGATCTCGTTTACTCAAGACGTTCGAAAAAGTATAAGAAAGATATAAAATATATAATACTCCGTCATAATTTCTATACTAATGACACTATTACTCGAATAAATATCTATTAAAAATGTTAAAAGTGCAAGTTTACTAACATGAAGTTAGATAATGTATACTATACATATGAAACAATTGTATAAAAATAGATTTAAATATGTTTTGAATTCTTATAAATTAACAAGTTTTGGTTTTAGCTTCTGTAAAAAAAATTTATTTTTAATCCTTATAAAATTAAAATTATTATTTTTAGTTTCTATTTTTATATGATCATTTTTTTAACTACTTTTTATTTATTAAAATGTTAAGTAATCATCTTAAGTGTTACTTACAATCATTATTAATATCATATCGATATTACACCTTTAAAAAAATTTATAAAGCCTTAAAATAAATGTTATTTATTCACCTTAAAATAATTATTAGGGACTAAAGATAATTAGTTTAGATTTTAGAGGGATGAAAACTAAAGAAAAATATTTTAGAGGGATCAAAAATCAAAATTTAATCATTTTACAAGGACCAAAAATAATATTTATAAACTTTAAAAGAATGAAAAACAAAGACAAGATTTTTGAGGGACCAAAATCAAAATCATCAATTTTATGGAGACAAAATATATTTAAGCCATAAAAATATATTATATAAATACAATGATCCAATAAAATAAATTGTACATCTACAGTTGCCTAACAAGCAACTTCTACACATAGCACTATGCAGTTGTAGTATCAAAATATGTCCAGCTTTACCATCCTCCTGATGGTCGCCTCAACTGCAACATTACATACCTATCCCTACTTTACTCTCATACATTGTATGAACATTGCAATCAAAATTACATGAAAACACACAAGGGTAAGTTAGAGTATAAAAAACAACACATACGACATAGGGATATCACATCATCATCATCTCATCTCTAGCAATACAATACAAGGCATCACATTATACAATGCATACCAACACAACAACTCAGCATCACAACATTCTCAACACAAGTTAATCATCATATCAACACAGTTATTTCAACACAACAACTACATGCGTTGTCACGCATTTCAATTAAGAGATCTCCTATAACACAGGGTGAACATTTTACCAAATCGACAACATAAGATTATCTTTTGGGGCTTGCTAGATCAACAACAACTCAACATCTCAATAACTTTTACTTATTCAACACGATAACGAATTCAACATACAACTCTACATCTCACAACTCAATCATCACTACTCATATTCAACTCTTTAGTCATCATACATCTCAACAACACATCATCATGTACTACTTCATCTTTGCAACTCATTCATCATTTATTCATTTAACACTTAAATCAACATGTATTCAACACTTCATCAATTATATCATCATGTTTTTCTTCAGTAGCTAGTGCCCACGGCTACTCACCTTATGCTCGATGTCATCTAGACAAGAAGCTCTTTACCTTGTCCATGTTCGACACTGCATGACCTATGCTTGGTGTGGCTTCAAGAAGCTTAAAGAAAACTTGTGTTTTTTGAATTATATGAAGCCAGTAAACTTTGATTAAGTAGTGTTTGTGCTTGTACTTGTCTTGCTCTGTCTCTCCTTTTTTTTTGCACTACTTCTATTCCTTCTAGCAGTACGTTCAATTTCTGGATCAAAAAGCAAATCCTTCATGACATTAGTACCTCGCATAAACAGCTTAGAGACACAAAATACTAAAATACAAAAAATTCTAAAATAACAAAAATAATAACAACAATAAAAAAACAAAAATAATAACAATAATAAAAACAAAAATAAAAAAATAAAACAGAACAGGATGAACTATCTAAAATTTGCAGCTCAAAATCTCAAGTCTATTAGATCATTAATATCAATAGAAAATTCAATCTTCGGCAACGGCACCAAGAACTTATTGCACGTATGGAAAGTGTACCAATCGTTACTGTAGTAATAATATTATCATCCTCAGGGATTGAATTTGTTGAATACTAAATTACTAATTTACGTTAATTTTGAGCAATTAAAAAATAGATGGAACAACGAACGTAGAAAATTAACAAAATTTCACTCAATATTAAAATTGTTAGAGAATTAATTTCATATTATTTCCTATAGATTCTTACCCTTTTCAATTGATGCAAGAATTGTAATTACCCACTTGAGTTTATTAAGAGTTATTTACCCCTAATCCCTTAGGCAAGTAAATCTATTCATTGAACCCTAATCCCCAATTCCTTAGGACAATTATGAAACTCAATAGAATCATGAAGAACAATTATCATATCAAACACAAACTAATTAGATATGCCCAATTTTCCAATTGTGACAAAACCTAATATGTTCTATCTATAATCGTAAACAATCTCCAATCTCCCAATTGTAAAGTTGTTCATAGAATAAAGATTAGAAACATGGATAGAACACTGAGATAATTAAAATTAACCAAACATCAATTGACAAGGTTCAGAAACTATGATCCAGAATATTACATCAATATTCTAACAAAAAGAAAATTAGTTCTGCATAATGAAAAAGGAAAAACCAAAAAAGACTGATGAGTCGTTCATCTTCCGATGGTGAGTTGATCTCCTCTTGATAAGTCGTTCCTCTCTCTGACTATTAGTTCTCCTTTTTTTCTTCTTCTAATTATTCCTCTTTTATTTTCAGACTCTTTTTTTCTTTTCTTTTTCTTTTTCTTTTTAAAATTTTAAGAGTTGTCTTTTCCTCTTCTTTTCATTTGGCCCAAGCCCACAACCTGTCTGCGAAATTTTCTGACTTCAACTCTTCCATCTGGATACTTGTTCTCTTTAAACAATGATTTAAGCACCTAAAACACTTATTTACAAAGAAAAACAAGAAAACCAAAAGTGTAATATAAAACAAAGATAATACATGATAAAATCATTCAAACAATGCAATAATATATGCAAATGGCCTAAACTAAAGTATGAATGCAAAGACAATTTATACACACATTAGCTATAGTTACGAAGTAAAGAGCTGCAACATGATCCAAACTTTATCATTCAAAAATCCATAATATATTGCTATCTGTATGCTCTTGTAGAATCCTCTATTACTATGTATATGCTCTTGTTGCATCATGGAAAAATTACCATGCTCTCACATATTGTTAAAATGCCTTGAGTTAAGTCCATTCATCAATACTTACCATAAGGAACAGGGAAACGTTTGAGAAGGTAATATTCCACCACTGCCAAAGATGCAGAAAATGCTATTACCAATGTTGATGTAGCACTTGCAACCTTTGGAAAATTCTCTAGTCAGAGTGAATTCCAAGTAAAATTTTCAGACTTTATGGCAAAAAGAAGGTACCTGATGAGGAGGAATTCCTAGTCCAAGGAAAAGGGGTCTCAAAATCATAGTAGTCAATAGCGGTCGGAGCGGCCGCTATCGCGGCACTCCGGAGCGGAGCGGCCTCACCCCGCAATGTGGCTGCTGTCGCGTGGCGGATTTTTGTAGCGGCTGGAGCGGCCGCGTCGGAGGCGTAGCGGAGCGGCCCAAATCGCGGATTCGCGGGCGCGATTTCAGACTTACCCTTCATTAAGGGTAAGTCAGTCTTTTCAATGGGCTTTTTTTGCCCTAATCATCCCTTCCCTCTCGCGATTTCAGACTCATCCAAAACAAACACCTCGGCTCGTCTCTCCCTCTCTGTTTCTTCTTCTCTGGCGATCGCGTGCAGCTCCGACGAACTCCGGCTCCGACGCACCTCCATCGGCGACGCGCCTCCAGCTCCGACGCACCTCCGACTCCGACGAGCCTCCAGGTCCGACGCAGCTCCGACGTGGCCGCAAGCTCCGACGCGCGTTTGTCTTCTATTCTTCTTCCTCCGACTCGCGTTTGTCTTCTTCTATTCCCCTATTCTCCTTGGTTCTGTCTTTTATGCAACATGCAACATATTTTTTTTTAATTATTTATTAAATTATTTCAACTGATTTTTTTTTTAATTTTTGATTAAATTTAATTGAACAAATTTTATTTTTAAATTCTGATTAAATTTAATTCAACAAATTTTATTTTTAAATTCTGATTAAATTTAATTCAGCAAATTTAATTTTTAATTTCTAATTAAATTTAATTCAGAAAAATTTATTTTTAATTTCTGATTAAATTTAATTCAGTTAATTTTATTTTTAATTTCTGATTAAATTTAATTCAACAAATTTTATTTTTAATTTCTGATTAAATTTAATTCAGCTAATTTTATTTTTAATTTCTGATTAAATTTAATTCAACAAATTTTATTTTTAATTTCTGATTAAATTTAATTTAGCAAATTTTATTTTTAATTTCTGATTATAATGTTTAATTTTTTACTTACTTAGAGCTTTAACACTTTGTTTTGGAGACATTTTATATTATGTATTGTTTGAGTACTATGAACTTTTAATTATTAAAAATGTTTAATGCATGAATTTAGAGTTATTTTTTTGTTTTTTTAGCTTTTATATATATATTATTAATTATTTAATATATATAAATTAATATTTAAATAGCGGTTATCCCGCTCCGCGTCATCCCGCTATCCCAGTTTTAGGGTCGGCCGCTCCGCGCCGCTATCCGGGATTGACTACTATG